TCCACATTCCTCCAAAAACCCACATGGTCAGGGTCTTCACAGCAATAGTCCACTCTCTGGCACCAACTTCTATTTTAGTTACTTTTCTGTTGCTGTGATAAAACACCATGACCAAGGCAACTTAATGAAGGAAGAGTTTATTTGGCTTATGGTTCAGAGGTTAGAGTCCACAGTAAGGAAGGAGGCATGGTAGCAGAGGTGGTTGGAACAGAAAGCTGAGTAATCACATCTTCAAGCAGGCACAGGAAGCAGAGAGAGAGAGACTAGAAATCTTTTTTTTTTTAATTTATTTTATTATTTTTATTTTAACATGTATGAGTTTATTGCCTGCATGCGAGTACACCCATGTCATACAATGCCCATGGAGCTCAGAAGACCATGTGTTTGTCTAAAATTTTCCTGCTTATGAGGATACCATTCATATTGGATTAGGGCTAATTCTAACGGCCTTGTTTTAACGAGATTACTTCTGCCAAGTAATTCAAATACAACTCCAAATGCACTCACACTGCAGTGTTGGTATTACCACCCCAACATATGAAGTTTGGGAGACCACTGTCTTGATGATTGCCCATCATCTGGCCCTTCATGATGTATGTTTTATTGAATTCCTCCTTCTGCTGTAGTAGCTGAGAAACCTGGACACCTCCCAGTTGCTTGGCCCCAATGACAATGGCTTCTCCCTTTCTCTGGTTGTCTCTGCTCCCTGCTTTCAGGCCTTACTAGGAAGGTCTCCTCTGTGGTGCTCTCAATCGTATCAGTCTGTTAAATAGCTTATAAATAGTCTCAGGCTATTTGCTCTCAAAGATTCTTTTTGGCACAATGGGAAGGATATGAATCTTGAGCCAGTCTGACACAGGATCAAGCTCTAAATGTACTAGCTGTATGACTTTGGCAGAAGTTATTTAAAATTTTGAAGTCTCTGGGCAGGAGAGATGGCTCAGCAATGGATAAGGACAATGACTGCTCTTGCAGAGAGGACTTGGGCTCGATTCCCAGCACCCACAGGGTGGCTAACAACCATCCATAACTCCAGTTCCAGGGGATCTGACACCTTCTTCTGATCTCCATGGGCATTGCGCAACATGGGTGCACTTCCATACACGCAGGCAATATACTCATACACAGAAAATAAAATAAAAGTAATAAATACAATAAATTTTAAACTCTCAATCCTCTTTAAAAGGGTTTGCTTTGAGGATTTGGTAGTGAGTGCTTCATTTCTATCACGGAAGACTCTAGTCCAATATCTTTGGGGCTCTCTGTGGGCTGTTAATGAGATCAGCTCAGTTGGTGATGATGGGATGTGAGTGTCCCCTCGCAGGGGTGCATGTGGCTGGGTCTCCTGGGATCCTTTCCTGGGTATTCAGCTCCCCCAAAGTGTGCACGGCAGTGGCCAGATTGTACAAGACAGCTTTGGCCCACCTGATAGTTAGCCTCCAGATACTGCCTCCTCTGTGTGCAATGCTCAGTTCCTTTCCCCATCCTGAGTAGTTCTGCATGCTCTAGGAAGACACGAAGGATCTAGAGAAGGCATTTAAGGGACATTGATTGCGCCCATATGAATTTTTATCTTCTGAGTGTGGAAGATACTCTCTCTTCCATACACACTGAGGATGTTGAACCATCCCCACCCTATACCCAGTACCCAACATCCAGCACCCAGCCTTGTACTTTATGGTAGAGGATCAGGGGAGTCTTTTTGTAGTGGTTTCAGGATCAGCTCCCTTGCCATCCCTTGTCCAGTCCAGACTTCTCTCTGAGGACCTGTTGCTATGGAAGCAACATTCAGAAAAGTAGAATGATGAAGTTGCCATTTGGTTGGGTCCCAGACCTTTCTCAGAAACTGTTTTGAATTCTATCTTGTTTTATGTTGCTTTCTCTCTATTTTTCCCTTCCTTCCTTCCTTCCTCCCTCCCTCCCTTCCCTTCCCTCCCTCTTTCCCTTCCCTTCCCCTCCCTCCTGCCCTCCTTCCCTCCCTCCCTCCCTCCCTCCCTCCCTTTCTTCCTCCTTTCCTTTCCTTGTTAAAAAGCACACTGTTTTCCTTTATTGCCTCATTCTGCATGCAGTACTTTCACCCTGCACGCGAGTTTCCACATTATATTTCCACTGCAGGAACTATGGGTCATTTTTAGCTGGCTGGTTCTGAGAGCCTTTAAACTAGCCCCTGGAATCTGCAAGGATAAACAGGAGCCAGGGTGGCTGGGCTGTGTTTGATTTACAATTGGAAACCAGGAGTTGGAAGCGTGTTTTATATATCTGGGAGTACAGGAGTGTCGAGTCCTGATTTATGAGGGAGCTTGGTGAAAGCACATGAAAGTCGGGGTAATGTTTATAAATTCTTTCCTCCAAAGATAGATGGAATGTTCTGCTGAGCTGGAATAAAATAGCACCTTTTGGGGGGAGGGAAGAAGTGGGGAGGAGGGAGAGGGGAGGGAAGAAGTTTGCTTAAATATCATTATTCAGTGCTTGAAAGGAAAGAGAGATGTTAGAGGCAGGGCACTCCTACAGAGTCTGTCACAGAGGAAAACAGAAGCAGTTCCTCTCGTGTCCTACGCATCAGTGACTATTTGATGTTTCCTTGTTGTTCCAGCCCCCTGACCTGTCTCTGATTTTACTTGGTGGACAAGAACCAACTCCCAGTTATGATGACCACATTTTAGTAAAATAAATAAAAATAATTGTGTTGTCTTCTGAGGTAGGACAAGTTCTTTGAAGGTCTTGTCCAGGATGGGGAGGAAGAGGGGAAAAGAAAAGAAAATTGAAGAGCTAGGAGGAGAGGTTGAAGATGGGCAAAGTATGCCCCAGGTACCCCAAGGTACTGAGGCTTGGGTGACTGAGTAAGGGTAACTGATGCTTAGCTGTAGAGGTTGGTATTACTAGCCATGGTAAGAGGTGTGGGGCTTGCCAACCAGTTCAGGGAACCCACAAGACATCATGACTCTCTCCGTGAGGAGCAGATCAGTGTCTTCCTCTGAGTTTCGTATCTGTCTTAGAACATTGTCCTTTGAGCCTAACTGCCAGCACCATCTTAATCATAGAAGCTATGATAACTGGTAAGAAACTTCAAGATTGGGCCTGTTGATGTGTGTGTGTGTGTGTGTGTGTGTGTGTGTGTGTGTGTGTGTGTGTGGTCACTGGACCCTCATCTGAGGCCTCAGCAACTCCTTTCTGCATCTCTCTCCCAGGTGTATGTAATTCTGCTCTAACTGCATACAGTCCTGGCACGTGCTAAAGTATACAGAGTCTGGAAGGTTAGTGGAAGGAGGACTTCATCCATGCAGCTGTGGGGACGTGCTTATCAGTGCTGGGGTGGATACTTCAGTGCTGTGGCTGTTTGAGGGTCACCCAGCTCCTTTAAGTAACCCCTCACCCATGTTCCTATAAGCTCAATGAACTCATTGGTTCAGCAAGCTAAACTTGGGGAGAATCGTTACTTGGTCTGTTATTGGCGTTCTGTCTGGGCCGAGTAGACATTTACTCATGTCTCCCCAGGAAATGTTCAAGAGACCACATTCTTTACCCCAAATCCAGTAGGTTGGGAGAGGGGGTGAGCTGTGCACACAAACAGGAGGTGCTTGCTGCTAACCTTGCTTCATTGAGAAGGGAGGCTGCGAACCCAATTTTAGTAAACTGTGTTTGGGAAAGTAAATAGCAGTGGGGCAGGACTGGGCACAGTCAGCTTGCCATTCGACTGGCTTTGACCTTGCTGCCTCAGACCTTCCAAGACAGGCGGAAGCAAGCCTTTTTTTAAAAAATTACCACTGCACTTCTGAGGGATCCTCCTGCTGAGAGACTCAGGGCCTGTCTGTTTTCAGGAGAGAGCACACAGGGCCTCTCCGTTTCACCTGCCAGCTCCTGCCCAGGCAGGAGAGTTCTGCATGAAAGGCTCTGAGGCCTGAAAAATGTAAGCAAAAAGTTACTTTGATCCATCTTACCTTAGCAACATGAGTAGGTCCCAGTGTTTGTAAATGCTTTGCTCACTAACACCTCAGAAAGCTGAGATTCAATGTCAGCCCTCCAGTTAGGATCTACATCTACATTATTTCTAGATCATCTACAGGATCTAGAAAAGACCCTGGAGACCTCTGTGAGTTACTATGTAGACTAAACACCCCAGACTCAGCAAGTACAGTATGAGGTTCCTGTCGTCATGAAGGGGCACAGCCATAGGGATAGTAGAGGGGTGGAGTTGGAGCACCAGGCTCTCCATCTGGAGAGCCCACCTTCATTGTTTTACCAATGAAGAAACACAGGAGTGAGAGTGGGGACCAATGAAGATCAGCATTTTTGATGAGCTACAGTCTAGGGCCCATCTCAGAAAATACCACCCTCTGGCCCTGGCACTCTAGTGACCCCTGAGAAGGCCCCTCAGCCTCTGTACAACCTGATCCAACCTCTGGGTTGGTAGCTGGTATAGGCAGAATTAACTGTCTCTGAATTGCTCTTGTACCATCTTGCAGTTAGCATCCCTAATCCCTCACTGCCTAATCACCAGATGCTTCACAATAACAATAACTGAGGTGGCTGTAGGAGGAATACAGACAAATAACCAGAGATCCTTCACTATTGCAACTGACTCAGACCTTTTAGCAGCTTTATAGATTCCTTTTCTTTCTTCTTTTTTTTTTTTTTTCCAGCCAGCACAGATGGGTCTCAAACTTCCAAGGATGACCTTGAACTTCTGATTCTCCTGCTTCTACCTCCTAAGTGCTGGGATTGCAGGTGTGCACCACCACGCCTGGCTTATGTGGTGCTGACTGAGAAGCCCTGGGGCCTCATGCATGCCAGGCAAGCGTTCTACCAACTGAGCCCTATCTCCAGCCCTTTACTTTACATGGATGTCTAACTGCTCTTTGCTAGCAATTTGCTTGTTATTCTAAAGTAAATATTAAAGATTTATTATCCAGACCCCTTTTTCCCCTATTATATCTAGCCCCCTTTTCCCCTGCACCCATTAATACAGAATTTATTGCATTTACAAAAACCACACACGCACATGCGCACACAATGGAGATTCCCGACTGGTTTATACCCTAGACTTAAGAATGATCGTTTTAGTTGGAAGCAAAAGAAAAGGAAACAAAATAGTATTCTACACGGGCTGCTTTTTCTTTCCTGGCAACTTCCCTCCTTTAGTTCCAACTGCCCTCCTTCCAGAAGAGTACAAGCATGTTACAGTGAACCCCCCAGCTTTTCTCTCAGCTTCGAAGATGAATCACAGAGATTTGGAGAAGGCAGAGGGGGCGAGGAAGTTCTGCAAGGAAGTGCTCTTTTCCAGGCAGCCTGACCTCAGTCATCAGTCTCCATTGCCACTCTTCAGTTCAATGCCAAGACATTTTCCAAATCCGACAGGAGATGAGGTCTTCAATCCAAGATGCTCCAGAAATTCTGATGTGGACTGATGGCTACAGCCCAACCTGGCCCCAAGTGTTGGATGCCTGCTAAGGACCCTATGCAGGGGGATTTTAAGATGTCACTAAGCCGGTCCTAGCAGGTGGCCGATCTCTGTTTTTGTTACACCTGCAAATCCAGACATCCATTACATTTCCAAAAACCACACATAAATGGAGATTCTCGCCTGGTTTATGCTCTAGACTTAACAAGGAACATGTCAGCGGGAAGCAGAAAAAGGAAAGAAAATAGGAACGTGGGTCCCTTGGCTCACTGTCCATGTAGACATCGGGCTGCTGCTCCCCAGCAATGGGAGGATGTGATGCACTTGGCTCGGCCTCAGGGCATTCTCTGTCAAGTTGGAGAGCAACTAATGGAGGAGATGCAGAGAGAGAAATTCAGAGTAGATGCAGTCAGCTTTGCCAGAGAAGCCACAGCACCCAGAGGAAGCTGGGAAACAGAGGAATACACCCAGCGCCTGGGTAAGATTCTCACTGCTGTGAAGAGCTGCCATAGTCCAGACAAACTTGCAGCCCAGGAGCCTCACAGGCGCCGGGACAACAGCCCATGGCACAGCCTCACTTAGACACCAGCACGTGGACGAACTCCTCATAATTCACTTGCCCATCTCCATCCGTGTCTGCTGCCCGTATCATCTCCTCCACCTCCTCGTCACTCAGCTTCTCCCCCAGCCTGGTCATCACGTGCCTCAGCTCTGCAGCACTGACGTAGCCATTGCCGTCCTTGTCGAACACTCGGAAGGCCTCCCGGATCTCCTCCTCGCTGTCAGTGTCTTTCATCTTCCTGGACATCATGCCCAGGAACTCGGGGAAGTCCACAGTGCCGTTCCCATCCTTGTCGATCTCATTCACCATGCCCCGGAGCTCAGCCTCCGTGGGGTTCTGACCCAGGGACCGCATGACAGTGCCCAGCTCCTGCGTGGTGATGCAGCCATCCCCGTCCTTGTCAAACAGAGAGAAGGCCTCCTTAAACTCGGCGATTTGCTCCTCAGTCAGCTGGTTGGCCATGCTGGCAGGTTTTGGGTGATGTGGCCAGGCTGGTCTCTGTTCCCAGTCTCTGCAGGGCTGGGCTTCTCTTCCCAGCTCTGGAAAGACAGGTGGAGATCCCAAGGGGCGGCAGGCTGTCTGACTTTCTAGCCCTGGCTTGACTTGCTGGAGCTTAAGAAAGAGCAGGGTCCTCCCCCATGGTTGGTCTGGCCGGATTGGGCTGCCATTCACAGACACCCCCGCCCCTGCGGTTGCCTGAAGGCCCTGTCCTGTTTAGACAAGAGTCCAAGAGCAGCAACCAGGCTGGCCTGCTAACTGAGCTGACGCCAACACTTGTGTGTAAAAGGCAGCTTTCCCGGCCAACACCGGCAGGGCCAGCAGCAGCCATGGTAACCATACCTTTCATCCAGGTGTGGGGAAAAACCTTTAAAGTAATTGACCTGGTCTTCTTGTGTTTCTAGTTTCGCCCAACATTTCCCCAGTCCTCACACCAGCTCTCATATCCTTCCCTCAATAAAACAAGCATTCCTCCTTCTCTCCTATAGCTGAAGTTTTCTTTGAATTAAAAGTAGGAAAACTGAGGGGCTGGAGAGATGGCTCAGCAGTTAAGAACACTGATTGTTCTTGCAATTGTTCTTACTGGGTTCAAATCCCAGTATCCACATGGCAGCTAACAACTGTCCGTAACTCCAGTTACTGGGGATCTGACAGCCTCTTCTGACCTCCGCAGGCATGGCATTGCACAACACGGGTGCACTTACCTACACGCAGTCAATACACACATACACATCAAAAAAAAAAAAGGAATAATAATAATAAAATATTTTTTTAAATAGAAAAATTGTATGTACTTTCCTTGTCTTTGACTTTAAAGTTTGCAAATCTCCCAAGTTTTTTTCAGACAGCCATAAGGCTTTTTCTTCTTGTCTTTGGATGTGCATGGAGAGTTTCCTCCAGTACATTTACATAGTCCTTCACAGCTATTTACTGATTGCCTAATGCGTGCAGGCACTGTTCTGGAAGCCGAGATTACAGGGTAAATACAGCATGGACTCCTGGTCCTCACCAAGTTCTATCTGTGACACAGTGAGTTATTAATAAACTAACATGTAAGGTCATTGGAGATTTTTGACACATGCTATGAAGGAAATGAAAGGTGATGATGGAGAGGATGGGGAGCTCATGGTCAAAGACAACTTTTCTGCAGAGAGACACTTGAAAGTGGCCTAGAGGAGTGGGGGGCATGGCAGGACCGAGAGACAGAAAGGCAGTCTTATAAGAGAAAAGGAGGAAGGGATCTTGTGGTACTCAGCAAAGGATTCCTCCACTCTTCTTGGATCATGGCAAGCTTGGAGGCTTTCAGCAAACCCTTGTCTGAGCCCTGGATGGAATGGAGCCAGAGCAGAAGTTAGAAATATCTTCAAGAGGTAACAGGGTCAAGAAGGACCCCAGTATCCTTCCCAGGCAAGAGGCCCCAGTTCCTCACCCTCTGGAATGGGGATACAGGATAGGTAAATGACCTCCATAAAAGCAGGGGGGATTCTAGCAAAATACCACCTGGAGAGGAAATATGGAACTGGCCCTTTAGTCTGTTGAAGGAAAGGTAGACCTGAGGCCAGGGCTGTACATAGGAAAGATATTATGTTTATAAGGATGTAGAGTTATTGAGGAGAGACTATGCCCAGGGTCACAGCTTAGATATTAATTTTTCCCTCTCTGAATTTCTCTCCATTCTCTACTCTAATATTTATAATATTAATACATGTTCTTTTTTTATTCAAATAGATGGTAGCTGTGCTTTCTCATCTGAATAGTTTGTGGTCATGAGAAAATAGAACTCATCTGCAAGATGATTTCTTTCCTGTCCGAAGGGTACCACGAAGCCCAAGCCTTGAGTGTGCGGGGAAGAGAAGAAAAGTTTCCACCCTGGAAGAAGCAGGGAGCTAGGAGAATTCTTCTATACCTCATAAAATGAACACTAGGACAGCAGGATTCAGATGTGTGGCTACAAGGACTCAGGAGTAGTAACATGGAAGAAATAAGCATTCGGGCATCTCAGAAACCACTGTGTGGATAACCACCTGGTCGATGGCCAGAACCTACCCTCCTCTCCTCCACACTCCTAAATGTTTGGTGGGGTGGGAAAGAGGTGCCAGCTAAGAATTCACATGGGTAATTTTTTTTTCTGTATTGACAGAAAAAGAGCTCAAGATAAAAATGTTGGCTTAAAGATGATGAGAGGGTACAATTTCTGTTTCTAGACTAAAAATTATATTCTCTATTGCAGCAACAGCCCCACTTCTTGATACCAACTTTTTGTATTACTCATTTTATTGCTGTAACAAAATACCTGACGAAAGGTACTTAATGAAGCTGGCTCAGTGGGTAAAGGCACTTGCTGCCTAGCATAATAACATGGATTCAGATCCATGGGATTCACATAGTGGAAGGAGAAAACAGACTCCCACAAGTTGTCCTCTGACCTCCACATGTGCTCCGTGGTACACACACATACCCATACGCCTGCATATAAAATAAAGTGTCAGGGATCATTGCAAGAGAGAGGGTAGAAAGATTGTAACAGCCAGAGGTGGTGGATGACCACAAGGAAACAAATTTTCCAGAGAGCTGGGCAGTTGCTCACATGAACTCACGGCAATGGTGAGAGCATGTACAAGACCCATGTGAGTTCAAGCCAGACAGAACCCCAGCATGGAAGTGAGCGGTCGGTAGGTGGCCCCAGTCCCAGCTGAGGAACTATTGGCAACTTGTGGCTGCAGAGAGAAAAGTTAGTTTTCTTTAAGTGTGTGATGCTGGATAGGTTGAACAGGCTCCGGTGAATAGACCCACACTGAAGGGCATTTGGGGACACAGGTTTGAATGGCTAATCATATATAATTATTTATTTATTAGTACATATGTGGGTGTGTGGGTGTGGAGATGAGAGGACAACTCTGTGGAGCTGGTGCCCTCCTTGTACCTCTACTTCTTTACTTGGGATCAAATTCAGATTGCCAGGCTTGCGGAGAAAGTACCTTTACCCACTGAGCCATGTTGCCTGCCTCATGCTTTTATTAGATAGTCATAGAATTTGGCCATTTGATAGGCTTTCCACTTCAGAGGATATGTGACCATGGTGAGTAGTCGGTATAATAAAAAATAAAGCAGAAAAATTGGGGCTGGAGAGGTGGCTCAGCAGTTAAGAGCACTGGCTGCTCTTGCAGAGGACCTGGGTTCAGTTCCCAGGACCTACATGCAGCTAACAACCATCCATTAACTCCAGTTCCGGGGCCTCCAAACGTCCTCTTTTGATCTCTGCAGGCATTGCATGACATGGGTACACTTACATACATGCAGGCAATATACTCATACAAGTAAAATAAAATAAAATAATAATAATAAAATAATAAAAGAGCAGAAAATGAATAATCAGTGACCATGTCCCTTCAGTTGAGTGCCGGGGCAGCTACCTGGTGGGGGATACCTAAGCTTATCTTCTCCCCCAATGCTCCCTGGCTCCTGCAGAGGCATATTCATGAATCTCCAGAAGGCTGGACCTCACTTAGACATGGGACCAGCTGTCTCCTGGAAAATCAGGGCTGACACCACTGGGAAAGCAAACCAGAGACAGTCCATGGCAGACGAGGAATCATGGCTGAGTTGGACAATGTTAACGTCTGCCCACTTCCTCTGTGAGAAGAGGCTGCAGGTAACTGCAGGTTTCTGGGCATGGTTTTGCAGCACAAACATCCAGTCTTTGCCTAATTGTGTTTTATAAAAAGGCACATGGAAAGAGAACTCCAGAAGGACATAAAAGAGAACTGCTTAGTACACATGACTCACAAAGGGCTGCCTTGTGATGGCCACATTGCTGCAATTCAAACATTGGGAAACTGTGGCAGAGGGACTGTTTCTTATTTAATGGCTTAACTCTCTCCTTGCAGCCTCTCATCACGTGCACTGACTCCTTCCTCTCCAGAAAGAAAAGGTATGTATGCCCATCTAGACAGTTAAAAGTTATTGAGAAATGCATTATAACAGGTATGAAAATATCATAATGAAATCCATTATCATGTATAATTAACACGTTAACAAAATATTAAAGGGGGTACTGGGGAGATGACTTGGTGAGTAAAGCACTTGTCACCCACATGTGAGGAACTGAGTCTGGATCCCCAGAACCCACATAAAGCCAGATTCTGCGGGGCACACTGATGATCTCATCGCTTCTCGGGGAGATGGGAGGCAGAGACAGAAGACTCTGTAGAAGCTCACAGGCCAGCTAGCCAGGTGTAGGCAGCAGCAAACAGTAAGAGAAACCCTGTCTCAAACAAGGCAGATGGCAAAAGTGATACCCCAGGTTGTCCTCTGACCCCCACATGTGTACTATGGCGCACTTGCATCGGCATTCACACATGAATGTGCACACACAAGAAATACACACATGCTCATACACACACATATTTTTAAAAGCATATTTAAAAGTTATTGAGGACTGCTGAATGTGGTGGCGGACACGTTTAATCCCAGCACTGGGGAGGCCGAGACAGGTGGATCTCTGAGAGTTTGAGGCCAGCCTGGTCTACATAGCAAGTTCCAGGCCAGCTGGGGCTACACAGTGAGACCCTGTTTCAAAAAAAGTAAAAGTTACTGAGGACTTTAAAGAGCTTGTGTCTATGTGAGTTGCATCAATATTTGCTGTAGCCGAAACTAAAACTGTGAAATATTTAAATATATTACGTATAACCTTAGACATAAATAAAAACCCATTACTTGTTCAAATGAGCAACATCTTTTTTATGAAAAAGTAACTTTTTTTCCGAGATAAAAAACAGGGAGAAGAGCAGGGCTGGTCTGTGAGTCTCTTTAATGTCTGTCTGTCTTTCTGCAAGCAGATGTGCATCTGGTCTGAGTCTATGGCAAAAGGCTCTTTTGAAGGCTATTTTGAAGACTGATTTCTTAGCTTCATATAGGCAGATGGGAGAGGAGGGATCATTTGAATGGCTTTTAATCTTCTTTTCAGAAAACTGAGATTATTCCTTGATATCACATCGAAATTTGAGAACTTTTTTTTTAACTTTTACAAAAACCTTATTGAGAATTTCATACGTCTATAAGGTGTTTTGATCAAATCCATGCCCACTCCCCCCTTCCAACACCTCCCATATCTTCCCATCACTTTTTTCTTTTTCTTTATTTTTTTCTTCTTTCATTTATTTATTTTTATGGGTCTTTTGGGTACTCTAACATTCCCCCCTCTGAAGAGGTAACCCTAAAATTTTTTGAGGATTAGATACAAGCTCCCAAATACTTTTGACATTTTTGGCCTTTGGAACAGAGTATGTTGCTAACAGTCCCAAGGACATTTTGACTTTTAGCCAAGAAACTGGCTACTTTTCTTTGGGATCTTTTTACCCTAACTGCCTACCAATTCCTGCCTCCTATTCTTAGCATGCCATTCTCTGAATTGGTTACACAAATTACCAATAGGGAATAGGGATGCAGACTGCTCTGGCTTCTTCCATGCTGATCAGGGACGCAGGGTGAGGCAATTGGCGTACCCCTTCAGTGGGTCTATCTAAAAGACTCCCAAATTATGTAACTCTTTTCTCTAAGAGGAAAAGAAGTCCTTGAATCATAAATAGGAGATATGAAGGAGAAGTAAAGGCAAGATTAATTACCATTACAGTTCTAGACAGGCAGCTAGAAAAAAGTCAGAACTGGGCAGTTCTCAAATGTTCATATGAGAGTCCATTGGGATTTCTTGACAAGGGTTTCCAAAAACATCCCTCTATTGGGTACCTCCTCATTTTTCTTTTGTCTTCTAAGGCTGGACTCTAGAGTGATGGATTCAGGATTTGCTTTCAGGCACTTTGATAGCTGTTGAAGTGGTTAGAATCAGTGTCAGTTCCCTCTCAAAGGCTTCTAGATAGGGGGAGAAAACACATTTATCCATCATTTTAGAACAATAGCTGTGACAACTCATTTCTTAAACTTCAGTTGGCAATGTGAAATCTGAGATCACATCAGTGATATTTTCATGCTCTTGCATTAAAGACCATTGGTCTTGCACTTTGAATGGTACCCACGTGTTTTTTTAATGTTTTGTTTACTTATTATTTTTATTTTATGTATATGAGTGCATTGCCTGCATGTATGTGAATGCACCCATGTCATGCAATGCCATGGAGGTCAGAAGAGGGCTTTGAATTCCCCTGGAACTGGAGTTAAGGCTGGTTCCTAGCCGCCACGTGGGTGCTAGGAATCAAATCTGGATCCTGTGCAAGAGCAGTCTGTGCTCTTAACTGCTGAGCCATCTCTCCAGCACCCACGTGTGTTCTTTATAATGCCATGCATTGGTTGCTTGGAAATTCTGAATCACTACTTTGGCATGTCTTTTCAGTGTTAAACCACTAAGTATATAACATTTTCATAAAACTCAGATTGATCAATATTACCACCAATCCCAATGGAAAAATCTTAAGGCATCAAAGAGTCTTATGTTCATTTGGAAGCTCAAATTTTATTATTGACAACAAATGTCACCTGTTGTTTTTCTTGAAGTGATGGTGTCATTTTTATCCGTTTTTGAGAGAATGTCTGCCAAAGGCCACATTTGATCACCATGGCTTGTCAGGTGATCTTCCCAGTTAAAGAAAACGATTCTATGAAACAAACAAACAGACAAACAAAACCAAACAAGCTTAGCCTTGTGACCCTTGGAGTCAGCCACACAGGTGTTTTCCTCATGACAACTGTCCCACACTCATGTTCAGCAAACACTACAAATGTGTACCCAAGAGTTGAAATGTAGTTTTCTTGTTTCCCCATGGACATCCTCAAGCGAAACTGGCTTTTCTTTTTAGTGACATGTAGCAGTCATAAACGCTGTGACTGGATTCATGCAAAGTGCTGAAGTTTTCCCACCGTTGTGTTTGACCTCAGTGTAAATGTCAATATGATGTAAAGAAATAATACATACTGGTATTGTTAGGAAGATAATTATGACCTCCTGGGTCCTCTGATAATCCTCCTTTTGGCCCTGCCAATCCATGAAACAAACACAGAGAAACACTGCCTTGGAATGCTGAGGAGCAGAGGTCTGAACGGTGCATTGGATGCTCTGGGCTGCGCTGTGTAATACTGAGGGCTCTGCAATCACAGTGGGACACTGTTGGCCATGCAGACTATGGTACTGATGAAGACTCCACAGATACCCGTCAAAGGGACTCACCTTCTTTGGTTACTTTGGAAAGTAGAAATATGAAGGCAAGGAGACCCCGGATATTCTGCTTACACTCTCTGAATGAGGATCGAAAGTGACTTTTGTTAAAAAGAATGTGGTAAGCACCCTTGGGAATGTAACTCTCCTGCAAGGTGCTATAGAAAGATATGGATCAGAATTCCCAATCTTCAGCAATCCCATTCCTGAGATGGTGCTGGAAAGTGTGTGAATGAGGGACTGTGAGACTTCCTATTTCTTTTTTCTTGATAAAACTACCTGTTTAACATTTGCTCATGGACAGCCTTCCCATCCAATACAAATATAAACACCTCTTTATGAAAAATAATATGGGGCTGGAGAGGTGGGTAGGTGGTTAAGAGGACTGACTGCTCTTGCAGAGGACCCGGGTTTGATTCCCAGCACCCACATGGTGGCTAACACCCATCTATAACTCCAGTTTCAGGGGAATCCAATGCTCTCTTCTGACCTCTGTGGGCATTGCACGACATGGGTGCACTTACATACATGCAGGCAATACACTGATACACATAAAATGCAAATAAATAAATAAAATATTAAAAAAGATACTTATACATTCACTTTCTGTCTTGAGCAATTACTCCTATCGACATATTCTTATGTCTCAGTATGACAGGTGACAGAGTTAGACAACCAGCTAGTTGGAAATTTGCTCTGGAATCTACATCTTCTTGTCCTTATCCCCTTAATCAGCATCCTATTCATTTTCTTTGTATTCATCACCAGCTTTTTCACCCAGCAGCTACAAAAGATACTGATAACCATACACATCTTTGGGTGCAGGAAATATTAAGACATTCTTGTTCGTTAAGTATCTCTTTAGCCTACTTATCCTCCAAGCACCAATTCCCAACTTAGCACATCCATTTGTTTCTTTAATCAGTGTTCGAAAGTTAACGTGACCAAGGGATTTTTTGGTCCTCATTCCCTACCGTATCGGTCGCTTCTCCAATTCTCCATCTCTTCAAAAAATAATTTGTTGGCCATTCAGATCAAAGCCCTATAGCCATATTTAATTCTTCCCTTCCTCTCATACTGTAAGCAGTCTCTCAGCCCTGCCTTGAAAATGTGGTCCCTTGTATCTACTGCACCAGCCTCATCATCTTGAGGCAGCATTATTCGATACTCTTACAATAATCTCACTTTGACTATGTGCATTGTTTCTTGTTCAGACCCTTAAAGGGACATGTCTTTGGCTCTCCAGTAAAACCCAAACCCCCTACAGTGGCTGCCTTGGTCTTTCATGATTGTTTCTTGCCGTTCTTGTCACATCACTGACTTCTATCACTATGTTCCATACGTCGACTCGCTTTCTGTTCCTTGAACACTTCTGTCCTGACTCCCACTTCAGCACCTTTGTACCATATACTTACCTGCCCCCAGCCTTCAGGTAGCTGGCTTCTTGTCAACTGATAATACGACTTCCATGTGCGAGCTCCCGTGACCAACCTCCCTAACCCTGTCACTTCCCTCCACTCTTTTGTTTTCTTCATACTCAACACTTCTAACTTTGTCTTGGTCATTTGGTTTCTTGACTCTTTCTGTCTCATAGGTATGGCTGTTTTAGACGTCTCTCTTCATGGTACTCTGTGAGTGAACACAGGCCCTCTGCCTTGGAGACACCATTCAATATTTGCTGAAAGAATAGAGCCCAAGGAGATTACATTATAGAGCAACTTTGCCTCCAGCTGTATGAGAAGGATTGCTGGAGCCTTACCTTTCCTTCAGGTTATGGTTCAAACCTCTGTGACATGTTTCAAATGGTCTTGCCAAAATGTCAATTGTATTCACCTTGTAAAGCCTGTTATTTCTATCCTCTTTTGTTTTTAAGTTGTTGTGTGACTCCATGGTAACATGTTATCTCTGTTCTGATCCTTAGGAGCTGCCGGGAGGCTCCGTGCTTGTACACATCTGCCCCAAGGCTTCTCCTGTTTCTGGTCTCTGCAACGATAAAAAAATTAGCTTCCCCACAGCACATAACAACTGTGCAGTCTAAACTCAAGACTTGGATTTACTCTCAACTTCCCCAAGCACTCTGGCCATGAGGTACTTTTATTGGCCTAGCTCTTTGTTCTGGTTCCTATCTAAGGGCTTGGGCATGGAGTCGTGGAGTCTAAGGTAAGGTCAGGACAATAAGTGATAAGTGCTGACAGACCTATGGTTGAAGTGGGGTTTATCTCTTTAGTAAAGAATCATGGAGACGATAGGCAAGCTGTCTGGGCACAAATCTGAGTTTGAAAGTTAGCCTGATGGGCCAACCAAAGTCATCTGGAGGGCCTAGGAGGAGAGATGGTGTGAAGAATTCAGAATTGAGGGTGAGGGAGCTTGGGATCTAAGTTGGTTCAAGGAGTGCTTGCCTAGTATTTCTGAATCCCTGGATTCAATTTCCAGCACCAATAAAACTAGACATAGCAGTACATGTCTGCCACCTAGTACTCAGGAAGTATAGTCAGGGAGCTTAGAAGTTCAACATTGTCCCCAGCTACATTTGAGGCCAGCTTGGGGTACACAAAATCCTGTCTCAAAGAAAGAAAGAGAGAGAGGGAGGGAGAGAAGGAAGGAAGGAAATAGAATTAAACAGGTATGGAGTCTTGGGAGGGTAGTTGCAGGGACTAGAGCACTGGACCTAAAAATTTACCCACAGGGGTGGGAACTCCTTGAGTGACAGAAAAACAGACAAATGGAAGAATTAAGACTTTTCTGAGCTTCTGTGATTCTCAACCACACATCACAGAGTGAGCTCCTTGGTTGCGTCTTGCTCAGAACTGTCTTCTCGTGGTGCATGGGAGATTTTGAGGCTTTTTGGCCTCAGTGCTTCAAATTTTTACCCGGGACTTTCCATTGGAACAAGCCTACAAGTCTTCCTTAAGTGACTAGGCATGACTGGATTTGTAGGGGATGTGAGACTTACGTTATTGATTTGGGATCTTTGAATTTCATGCTCAAATGTGCAAGAATAACATTAGTGACAAATACACAGAGGATACAATTATGAGATACAAAAGGCATCAATCAAACTTGTGTAGGGACAAGCAGGCATCATGTTGTGTCCTTGGCATTGGCTAGCTACTTCTGCCTCTTGCTTTGAGGCTGGGTTTGGACTGATAATAAGTATGCTTTGCTCACTGTTCTAACTAACATTGACCAAGGAGCAAGACAACATTTTCTCTGTCATCTTTGCATCTTTATTGGGGTCTTACTAGTGTGGGAGTTGGGTGTGGAGGGTTCTTTAGGAATCGGGGGTCCTGGACCTTTCTTTCCTACAGTCTCATAAAAAGTCATTTTAGATTTCCTGCCTGACTCAGCTCTTTGGATGACTTTTGGTTAGTCTTGTGTGAATTATCAATATTTCTACAGGGCTCCATGCTGGGCTGAGATGGATTTCAAGTCCAGTGAAATCACTGTTCTGGAACACAGCTATGATGGGTGTAACTGAAATCTGATGAGTAGCTAAGTGGATCATCTTTTAGGAGGATAGCATGTGAGAATCACTTTCCTAGAGCTTCATGGCTTCTGCTTAGTTATGAGGTAAAGTGCTGAGGAGCCAACAGTTGGGTTATATTAACGGTGTCCAGGTTGTCTTGGATTAAAGTCCACATGTCACGTCCTACTGTTTTCTCCATGAGACTGATTTATGTCAGCACCAGTCCACCCCGCCCATCACTAAGTCTACCTTCCTAGCACAATCAAGTTCATTAGCTAGGATGACTGAGGTCAGCACCCAGAGCACCTCCTTCAGCATATTACAGGGCAGCATAAGGGGCACCAGAGTTGCTAGTGGTTGATTCCCAGGAGCAGGTTTGACTAAATCAGGAAAAAAACAATCATTCCAAATAGAAAACACATTAGTAGTAGACTTCATATGAAAACAGCCAAATAAGTAAAACGCTAATCCTTTACTTTCCCTGGAAAAAGGCTGTTTGCTTTATATTTTTCAGAACTGAAGGTTTCTGGATAACTTAATATGAGCTTATTCACTCTCTCCTTTCATGCTGGGGTGATGGCTATGGTAGACGAAGGACGTGTGGACAGAGGAGGGAAGAGGAGGGAGGGAAGTGGCTGGTCTTGGAAAGGTTTCATATGCGTGACTGACCAGTCTTTCAAACTTGACCTTTGATGGTTTGAAAAGCAAGAAACATAAATATTAAATGGAATGATATCACTAGAGACTGGAGCTACTACTATAAATCTTTTCCTATCACAATGCTTTTTTTTTTTTTTTGAGACAGGGTCACATGTAGCTCAATCTTGCCCTGGAGTACTCCTCATCCTCCTGCCTGAGGACTGAGTGCTGACATTACAGGTGACACAAAGCCCAGTTTATGTGATGGGTGCTGGAGATTGAACCCAGGGCTTTGTGCATGCTGGGCAAGTACTCTATCAACTGAGTTGCATCCCTGAGATGCATTTAATAATAGGCGAAGTAGGATTACCTGTTGACTTAAGCCTTTACAGACAGGTATAAGATAATTACCACCAAGAGAACAAGTTGATCCTCCCTGAGGCTCACTAAGAGCTTTTGCTCCAGATTCCAAGCCTTTGAAGTTTATGGTTGTGATGAAAGCTTTAGCATTTAATTCAAGATGCTGTTTGTATGCGCATGAGCATGTGGATATGGGCACATGTTATCTATGAGAGAATGTGTTGCTTATAGATAAATGTGATGTGGGGAGAGAGCAGAATTCAGGGCACAAACTCAGGCCCTGGGTGAGGGATTTGAAGGAGGCAAAGGAGTTCATCAAGCTGTGATGCCCATCTTACCCACTCTACCCATTTATCCAATGGTTTTAACCTTGAAACCGTGGGACTCTACAGAGATCCTTTGGTAGGGACAAGAGCAGTGGAGGGGCAGGAGCCAAAGGCAATTCAGTTCTTTCCTTTCTCCACACCCCACCCAGTGAATCTCTGATCTTAAGTACTTCATAAGTGGTAGGCAAGTTGCAGCCCTTGTGACTTGGAATCCTCATCTGAGTACAATGGTTACAAAAGTACCATCCAGCTCACCGCATAATATGTATTGAGGCATGAAACTCAGAAGATCAGCTGAACACTGGCATATCAAGAACTCAAGGAATATGAACTATTGTTTTATAATACTAGTGATCTATTTTTTCAATGACCTCCATGGAGCTATGCCCTCATGACCTTGTCTCACCTCATCTTTGGATACCCTTACCTTAAGGATTAGAGTTTCATCATATGTATCTCATGGGTGACACAATCCAGTCCCCAGCAACCATAGAAACCCTGTTGACATTTCTGTGTACCTTTTCCTGTATTTGTGAAGTAAAGAGCAGACAGCTTCTGACTTCATCTCTGAAGCAATATGGATGTAATCGAAAGGACCCCACCCAAGACTGGGCACTGCATGCTGACAGGAGGTGAAAGCTAGTGATTCAGAGAAGGGATGCCCCTAAGAAAGGAGGCAGTTACTCAAGCAGTACAAGGGGCGAAGATGGGGAAGGAGGCAGAAAATAGTATGAGGCAGGCTTGGAGGCCAGAGTAGGGGGGAGACCCTGAGAGGAGAGGGTAATAGTGAAGGAGAAGGGTTAGGGTTCAGTCCCATTTCTTGGTGGTCCAAGGGAACACAGTGACGACGTACACGTGATAGAGCTTGGGTGGGGGAGAAACTGGGTGTCTGGGAGTGCAGAGACCTGAGATTGCTCAAGAGTAGGTCATGGTGAGTCTCAGCTTCAGGAGAGGCTAGTGGAGGAGGGGTGATAAAGAATGAGGGTAAACGGAGGAAAGAAATGGGGAAGGGGAAGAGAATCCTTCTCAGAGCTGTTCACACTGACTCCTGCAATGCTCCCCATGCCTCGGAGTGGGGTAAGGAAAGAAGAGACATCACACTGCTTCTCTGGGAGGATGGAGGAGCTGGTGACACGTCCACAGAAACCCTACCATGAATTCTACTGAGCTGGGTCCAGGCACAGACTCAAAGTCAGTATAATTGTTGGGAAGCTTCATATGGGGTTCAGATCAACAGAAAAGATGAATCTTGTTTTTCATAATGGGTCAGGTTGGGAAAAGAGAACTTAATACACCAGAACTTTGTATTTCACTCACTCATTCATCCATCCCCCGGTATCCACGTATTCACTATCATTCATCAGATTAGCTGGTACTGTGAGAACTTGCCCATCTTTATTCCTGGCTTCCATTCTTTCATTCCAGTGAGAACAGAGTTCCCACTGTCAAGGAGTTCAGGGGCTAGTTACATACAGTACCTGTAGGTACTATGGATGCACTGAAAGAGGGTGACTAGCTCTATGGAGGAATCAGTGAAAGGGAACCCACATTTGAGCTCCATGAGGGAATTACAGATCACTGTTTATGGGGTCTCTGTGCAACCAAATGAAATACTTCTGTTAGAAGATGGTGTGTCTCTCCCATGAGCTCTGTAGAGCAGCCAGCGCTGGCTCCCTATGAAGCTTGCCTCTGAACAGCTCTAGACTTCTACGCCTGACAGGTGAAAGAAGTTACACTGCCTCTTCCAGAGGGAGGGCTTGGGAAGAGAAAAACCTGATTCTATTTTCATATGAGATGGGCATGGAAAATGGAGGACAGGTCAAAGCTGTGTTTTGGCTCATTATGCTGTTTGTCCTTCCCTCCTAATGCCTTTCATTAAGCAAGTGGGGACCTGCAAATCCATGGGTCCTATCTGTGTAATGAATACTTTGAGGAAGGAATTTCACCTACATCTCAGGGAAAATATTATAGCCCGAGGAAACAAACCACAATGACTATGAATCTACATATTTCTAATCCTTTTGGAAGACTCAAGTTATAAAAACTTATTTCACTGTAAATGGTAGCTTAGAATGTACTGGCAAAGAGGAAATGAAATGGAATAAAGCACAAGGTTTATAGAGAAGAAAAAAGAGTATGCCACGGGTAAAAGCTAAATACCTGCCTTCTGTGATCATGCGCCAGAGTTGGGTGGAGTTGGGGTAGGGTTGTGGAGGATGAGGCAACTTTCAGTAGATTAGGAAGTTATTAAAACTACAGTAAAATGGAGATCTGGACATAGACACGGGCTACACACCTACACCTGTAATTCCAGCTCTTTGGAGATGGAGGCAGGAGGATCAAGGTCATTGTCCCCTACACAGCAAATT